CTCCTGGCCTGGGAGCCTAGATGGCTGAGCCCAGCCCGGCCGGCGCGTCACGCGGGAAGGTCCGGCCCAGCAGGACGGTCTGGGTGGGGTGAGGGGTGGACGGCGCTTGGCCCCTCAGTGGAAGCTGCCATCGGGGCCTTTCCTGCCCTGGCCCTGTGTGCAGGCGCCTTGCTGAGCTGTTGCCATGGGAACAAGCTCCCCAACATCTGCAGGGTTCCCTGCCTGCTCGTCTCTGCTGCACCCCACTTCCTCAGGCAGGGCCGTACCCTCGGGCGGCTTCCCTTCTCCTAACCCTGCCAGGGCCAGGGCTCACCCGGAGTCAGGCTGGGGGAGGGGGCTGGGCCGGCCCCCTTGCTGGCCCCACTCTCCCCTCCAGCGGCCTCCCCCACAGACTTTCCCCGTCCTGTCAGGCCCAGCTGTGCGGGCCTCCAGCCATCCCCTCTGCCTTCTCGGCTTCAGCAGGGCTCCCTCCCCCAGCCTGGGTCTCCCTCCTTCCTTCCTCCAGCCCCAGGGCGCCGTCTTCACCTCTGCAAGGACCTGCCAGCACAAGCCGGCAGCCTGCGCGGTGACTGACCGGGACACGCAGGTGGGTCAACCATGACCCTGATTCTGACCACGACACTAAGCACAACCCTAACCATGGCCCCACCCTAACCCTAACCCCAGCCCTACCCTACCCGTAACCCTACCCTAACCCCAAATCTAGCCCCAGCCCTAGCCCAGACCCCGACCTTGGCCCTAGGCCTAACCTAACCCTCTGCAGGAGCTGACGACCTCACCCGGGGAGCCGGGCCTGGGAACAGTGAAACTAGCGTCTCCACCGCCAGCGCTGAGCAGTGGGCGGGAGTCAGTCCCGGTCTGGCAGGTGCCCGTGCACCAGGGAGGCGGCCTCCCGCGGGCATCTCCCCCGCCTCTGAGGACTTGTTTGCTTTAACCAGAGCCTGTCCCGGCTCTGCTGGCCGCGTCTCTCCTAGTCGCTCGGAGCCACGGGGACAAAGTGCGGCCGCGAGCAGTGCCGCGGGCGGACGCTCTGAAGGCTCCTCCCGGGGTCCAGTTCCGGTCACTGGGTCACTCGTTCCTGAGCCCCCGTCCCGCCCAGGACCCCAGCAGGGCGGGGCTCACCTTGGCTTTGAGGCTCTCGGTATCATCGAAGCCCACCCACTGGCCGCCCCGGACGGCGTAGGGCGCCTCCTGCTCTGGGACGCGGTGCTGGGCGGCCCCCTTCCAGGCGCACACCTGCGGGGAGAAGGCGAGCGGGAGGCGGGGCCACTAGACGATGACAGGCGAGGGAGGGGGTGCACATGCCCAGCGTCCGCGCTCAGACACGCGGGCCTACCTCGTAGTACGCCAGCAGCCCTGCCTCCTTGGTGAAGGGGCCTGGGGTGCCGGGCCCGGTGGCCGGGGCCCCCACCCCGGTGTCTGCCGGGGAGGCCAGGGTGAAGGTCCGTCCGTAGGTGGGCACGCCCAGGACCAGCTTGCTGGCCGGGGTCCCCTGCTGCAGCCACTGCTGCACCGCGGAGTCCTGGGGCGGGAGAGGGGGCTTCCTGTGTGCAGCCTGAGCCTCGTCATCTGAGGCTGGGGCTCCGAGGCGTTCCCACCCGCCCGTCCGCCCATCCGTCCGTCCGTCCATCTGTCCATGGACTCAGCTCAGTGAGACACATGGGAGCCTGGGCTTTGGGGCCTGACAGCCACTCCCTGAGCCGACAGTGACGGACGCCCGTGTGCCAGGCCCGTCCCAGGTGCTCGGGACACCGCTGTGAGCAACGCAGCCAGTCCCTGCCTTCCCGCACCTTCCTAACCTCACAGGCCTCAGGCTTCCAGTCTGTAAAATGGACACAATACAAACATCTACCTCCCGGCACCTGAGAGGGGAGGGTGGGTGCAGGACAACGAGGGTGGCTCTAGCCCCGCGGGGCCTGCAGGGCAGCCGACCCACGGCTCCCGCTCACCCTCATGCTTCTCCCGCTCCCGTCCCCCTGGAACAAAACAGAACCCTGTCAAGTGGCCTGGGCTTCTGACAAGTGCGCGTCCTGCTCTGCGGGAGAGGCGGCCGGAAGCCCCACCCACCGCCAAACCTGGGCCAGTGGGTGGGGGCTCTGCCCTGAGAGACGCCCCCCGCCCCACATTTCGGAAGCCTGCGAGCCCCTCCTTAGGTGCCTCGAGGCTCAAAAGAGGCGGCCAGACAGGGGCTGGGGCTGCCCCCCAACGGCCACTCACCACGTTGAGTTCAGCTGCCGCCCCCTGCTCCCCCTGCCTCGGGTAGAGGGCGCTGTGATGGCCGGTGGTCCGCTCCCAGGAGCCGTGCAGGTCGTAGGCCATGAGGCTGATGAAGTCCAGGCTTCTGTGGGGGTGCGGGAGGGGGAGAGGCCAGTGAGGGGGTGGGGCTTCCTCCTCACTCCCTGCTCCCCACTCCCACTCCCCGCTCCCCCCTACAGGGCAGCCCCAGGAGGGCCCCTACGGTGAGAGGCAGGGTACGGGTGTGTGTGTGTGTGAGCGTGTGTGTGAGTGTGTGAATGTGGGCGTGTGTGTGTGAGCGTGTGTGTGAGTGTGAGCATGAGTATGAGCGTGAGTGAGTGTGAGCATGAGTATGAGCGTGTGTGAGTGTGAGCGTGCGTGTGAGCGTGTGAGTGTGAGCGTGCGTGTGAGCGTGTGAGTGTGAGCGTGCGTGTGAGCGTGTGAGTGTGAGCGTGCGTGTGAGCGTGTGAGTGTGAGCGTGAGTGTGAGCGTGAGTGTGAGCATGTGAGTGTGAGCGTGAGTGTGAGCGTGTGTGACTGAGCGTGTGAGTGTGAGCGTGTGTGTGAGCGTGTGTGTGAGTGTGAGCATGTGAGTGTGAGCGTGTGAGTGTGAGCGTGTGTGTGAGTGAATGTGGGCGTGTGTGTGTGTGAGTGTGAGCGTGTGTGTGTGTGTGTGTGTGTGTGTGTGAACGTGTGAGTGCAGGTCCCCATCTGCCCTGAAAGGTGCCGGCACTCCCCAGGCCCCTTCCTGAGGCCTTTCTCATTCCCTCGGTGAGGCTGGCAGCTGACTCTTCAGCACCCGCTCCCTCCTGGCTGGCTGTCAGCTGCCGCCCCAGCGCCCCAGTGCCCTCGGTGGGCGCGGGGTGGGGGGCTGCCCTCTTCCTCAGGGGTGTTGGGTGTTCACTTTCAGACCGAGTTCCCGAGGAAAAGGGTGAGAGCAAAAGAGGAATCTGGAGGGAGGGCGGCCCAAGCCCCCCAGGGTGAGCTGCCCTGGCCTGGAGCTCAGCGGGCCCTGCCGCACCTCCACCACCCGAGGACACAGGCTCCGCCCAGACTCACCGGGCGATTCTGTCCACCTCGTACCCGGCAGCAACGG